GAAGAAGAAAAAATTGATGGTTAGAGATAATGAAAAAAAATGGCTAAAAATGGATCGAGATCATGAGTTCAATTACTTTTTTCTAGATGTTGAAAATCACTTTACGAATTAATTGTTTTACTCCTTTAAACTCACTTCAATGCTATTTTTATGTCTTTTCACTTCTATGCAGTTATGAAGTATGATAGTTTGAAGCAATTCAAGTGAAATTCTAAAATGTTGAATGTTCATTAAATTAAAATCCATTTAACTACTAATGCAAACAAATGAGCTCATAAAGCTTTCAAATGCATATATCACAAAAAGAAATTTCAACCCACAATTGTAGGCAAGTAATAAAGTGAGCATATAAAGAACAGTTTCTAGATACACGAAACACTGGAAATCCTTTATAAAAGGTAATTATTTCGCTTGTGAGAAAAAAAAGTAGCAAATAAATAGATCAGCACTTTTTGAAAAATATTTCCGTTTTAACGACCATACTGTTAAAAGTATCTGAAATGTGGTCACTTTAGATGGCCTTTTTTTTAAAAAAAAGGTGAACAATGTGTTGGTAAGTAGTATGAACCACTAACAAGTCGGGTACATAAATATATGAACCTTATGTCAATTCATTGAATGGACTTTATTCCGTACATTTTGTAATTTCTTCATTCAAAACTTCATGAAAAACTAAAAACTGTACGTGTTTTTATTTAATTATAAAAGAATGTTTACAGCTATAACATCAAAATTTCTCATAATCCTATAAGAAATTGTTAATAGACAATCTAAAAAATCATAATAAAACTAGATAACCTGTTGGATGGTGGGTAGCAGTAGAATCCAGGACGCATGTTTCGTACTGTTTGGGACTCATCAGTTGGACGTACCTGCATCCCAGAGTTGATGTTTACTCCGGGATTCCAACCCAGTGCCATTAACTTCAAACGCCATCACGTTGTCAATTTAGCTACTGAGTTCTATAGCCATTAGCTTATGCAATAGGGTGAAGTTTAAATCCATATTGTATTGTTTATTTTAATCTTCCTATTGATGTTTAGGTACTGGGTGCGAGTCCTGGAGTGAACATCAACTCTGGGATGCAGTTCCAAATAGGACGAAACGTGCGTCCTGGATCCCACTGCTAGCGACTATCCATCTTTACTTGTAATTCTCGTGATTTAAGGAAATCCGGACAGGATGCACATATACAAATAAGAGACTAATCAACTGCAGTCCTAAACATCAATGGGAAGATTCAAACAAATAATACAAAACAAATTTAAATAACTTGTTGTTAATCATGTTCTTGTTGGGGAAAATCTAACAGTGATATCAAAATAATGATAATACTTTCTAAAAGTTCCAGTCAGAATGTCAACTCAATCTTTGTATAAAAACAGCATTAATAATTCACTTGTATTGGTTGTTTGAGTGTTCCCAGTGATGCTTAGCACTGCAATTGGTCAATCTCTTTTGGTATATGTGCATCCTGTGCGGACTGCAAGTCAGTCACAAGAATTTTAAAAAGAGATAATAATAATAAATCAATAAATAAATAGCCTGGTGAAATAGTTCCACATGTAATGTTTTAAATATATTTATAACTGATCCATTTAATTGTTAATGTTTAGGGCTAAGTGAAATCACTTGCTAGATATAGGAAGACAATACAGAAAGTAAAAAGAAACAACATGGTTCATGAAGATTCAAATTGTGAATGATATTCATCATGATCTGATATTAGTTAAACGTATGTCACGCCATAGCATGGATTATTTGCTGATGCTAGGAAGGGCCAGTGAAACCGAAGATTTGGTTACTTTATGACATGGTTCCACGATATGAAAATAAGTCGTGTAGAACTGTCGTCCGTCGGTCCTAGAGATTGCCCAATTCAGTGTTTTGACATTTTACCGGATATGACTCATAACAGAAGCCAGTGATATTGTAGTTTCCTGCATTATTCATAAAAAGACGAAGGGAACTCCCTAAACTTAAATTCTTCCTGGTGGTGTTTCCTAATGGAAGGTTTATTTCATTATATACTACTCTCGTTCACCTATTTTTGATAATACTTCATCGCCCTCCTATATCTCTCAACAATTTTGTTTTCTTATTTGTGTGGCTCATGTTTATTTTGGTGCCCAGTTGTATCAGTATTTATGTGTATTAAATAAATAAAGTACGGGAATACTTATTTAAATTCTCCGGATTATATTTAGTTTAGAATATCTGAGAATAAAACCTGAATGTTAAGACAGGAGTTGGTGAAGAGGGTATCTAAAAAGAGATCGAATATTTACACACCTAATTCCTTTTATTATCTTGAAGAGAGCAAGAACAAAGAATTGAGCAGAATAACACGAATTCGTTTCATTTCGTAAACTTTTCATCAGCTACCAAAAACCTCGCGAAGTAAAATGAATCCACATATATTATTTGTTCGTGCTCTCTTCAAGAGATCGAATGGTTGTAAATAAAATGCGTGACTAATGAGTTAGCAGTTTCAATACATGAATGCACGATAGTTAAATGATGTTAATCGGTAATTTACAATAATTTCAAAGTTATTTACTATGATTTTTCAGTGAGTTATATTTCTGTTAACAGTTTAGATGTTGAATTACTACGGAGTGGTAATAGATCTTACCAGAAGAACATCACAAGACGAAGCTGAGAGCTTAATTAAAGATGAGGTCACATCTGTTAATTTAAGTATTTTATAGTTAAGACCGTACATTTCCTTAGAAAATGATCCTTTAGATATTCCATGGAAAAAATAAATATCTAATTCTGGTAATTTATAGTGAAATGTATTTTATTCAAATTTATGGATCATACTAATGAAAAACAATCAATTTTACAGTAATACATGAAAATTTTTTATGTATTCCAAAGAATAACTCATGAGTAAAGAGAGAAGCTAATAGTTGGCAAGGAATAAAAATAATCTTTACAAATGATTCAACCTTTTTAGACGAATATTAAAAGATGAATTATGGAGAAAATGGATGCTAAAGTAACTGATTATCAAAAAACTGGAGAAATAGACATAGAGATTCGAGTAAACTAACTTTAACTACTTACGAGTAGTAAAAAAACAATAGAAATCATTAACGACTTTTATTAATTTACAAAGATGGCTTGAAGGGTAATTACACTTGTTTGTTCTAAATAGGAAACCAAATATTTGAGCAGAAACCACCTACTATATAAAGCATCAATTTGTCCTCCATAAATGTTTAGTGTGATATCTACTTAATTAGATGTATAAAACTGTAACTTCTGTAAGTTGATTTGCCTAAAATATTACTATTTGAGCAATTACATACTGCCTAAACATCGAAGGTTTATCAACAACAACAAAATAAATCTACTTTTACTAACTTAAGACGAATTGAGCAAAGAAACTTAATGTATAGAAACTGATTATACGAATTGGATTTAAATTTATTTTTTTATATTTTGATGCAACATGACAGTTACCTTGTAGTATTGGTTGCTATGTTAAGCCCACATAGATTATTCCAGCTTTCGGACAAACCAATTTATTCATTCGTCTTGAGTCACGTTTTGACCTTGTTAATTATTCGCTTATCAACCCTGACTGATTCTATATAAGCGTATGTGTGTTCATTTCCTATCCTATCCATCACATGTCTGTAACTTAATTTTATCTGACAATAAATATCGATCAACACTTGATCAAATCGAGTTGGCTCACACGCCTTCTCCACCGCGCATCATTTCTCTCCGCTTTGCTTCTACAATCGTTGATCCAGAATCAACGATTGTATGAAATACACTTATTCGAAATTCATTCTCGTATTAGACTTATTTAATTCCGTTATCCATTAACGCGATTTACGTCAAGGATTGGTGACATGTTTATTTCAATAACGATCTACTTGGAGTCAGATTTAGGGTCACTAAAACGTGTAGATGCTAAAGTCTTGAAAAATTACAAAATCAAGCTGAAGGAAAGTTGAACCAATGAATTTGAATGTAAGTTCGAGTTGATTAGAATGAAGCAGGGAAAGTTTGCCTTATGACCTACCATTTATAACTATTTATTTATTAAAAAGGCAACGATAAATATTCAGTGGTTTAGAGAAAGAATACAATTCTTGTATGATTAAATGTTTTATGCTGTGCTTTAATTTGTTACAGTAATATAATACAATCCTATTCTGTCTACTTTGAATCCGATTTCTTGATTGCATTTTATTGAAGTCTTAGATCAATTAATATTAGTAGTAACCCAGAGAACACCAATCCAATCACACTTAATGGAGAAGCTCTGAAAGATGTGGGACCTTTCATGTACCTCGGCAGCATCATCGATGAACAAGGGGGATCTGATGTAGATGTAAAGGCAAGGATTGGCAAAACAAGGGCAACATTTCTACAGTTGAAGAACGTATGGAACTCAAAACAACTGTTAATCAACATCAAAGTCAGAAATTTAAATGCAAACGTCAATACGGCTTTACTGTATGGAGCTAAAACTTGGAGAACTACTATAACCATCATCAAAAGTGCACAAGTGTTTATAAACAATTGTCTACGTAAGATACACAATGTCCGTTTGCCGGATACCATCAGCAGCAGCCTACTGTGGGAGAGAACAAACCAGCTTCCAGGTGAAGAGGAAATTAGAAAAAGACAATGAAAGTGGATAAGATATACATTGTGGAAATCATCAGACTACATCACGAGGCAAGTGTTGATTTAGAATCCTGAAGGGAAAATAAAAAGAAGAAAACCAAAGGACACATTACGCAGGGAATTGGAAGCAGACATCAAAAAGATGAATAGAAACAGGAAAGGGTTTCTCAGGACAGAGTTCGATGGGGAATACTGGTGGGCGATCTATGTTCCTCCACGAGGGGTAACAGGTGCAAGTAATTCTTAATGATATCCCAAAACTCCAATTAGTAACTGATTAGGTATAATGAATACAAGATAAATAAAACGTTAATAATCATGCGAAAGATTAGTTGAATAAAACTCACTTGGAGATCTTTTTTAGATTACGATAAGTAATTTTTCCAGAATCATCTTCATCGAACAGCTTGAAGGCTCGTACCATTTCCGTGACAGGATCCCTGTCTAAAATCATATCTGTCACTAAAAAATTATATATATATATATATATATATATATATATATATATAAACTATGTGAAAGGAAAATGATAAATAGGATGGGGCATAGATAAAAATGATAAAATACTAACTACTACTTCTCAAACCGATAAGTAGCGAAACTTAGTCACAATGTACAAGTATTAGGATTCCGAGAGTTGAAGCTATAAAAATGAATAGGATTCTCCTAAATAAATATTAATAGATGTAGCAACGAAAGTGTTTGGAATTTAAAATGGTAATGTAGTTTAGATTAAAGTTTTGATGGAGTGCTTATAGGTAGTCGGACTTCTTTTTCAGATGCATAATTTATTCCTTGGTTTCCATGTACGTTATTATTATAACTGATTATACCTAGTAACTTGCAAATGGCTGAGTAGGGAGTAACTAAGAGCGATGAATCCATTGTATTTTGTAAACGTCTTCGTCTTTGCATTGTTTAGATTTGCAAGGCGGACCAACTGCATGAAATGGGATTTCTTGCCTGATTTGCTCTTTTTATCATTCGGACTTTCGTTAACCTGAAGTTATTCATTTTCCAAAGAAGGTATACGAAGATACAAAACGTAAGAAATTAAATCTACTCAATGAGAGATTGTATATACATATCTATTTTATTTTAAATTAACGGAAAAGTTTCAAATCTCCCAAATAGGCTGAATTGGTTTAACGCTACACTTATGCACTAATGCTGATGACTAACAACTACATTAAAGACCTCAAAGTTTCCAAACACAGTTATACAATTCCTAATTCCACTGGAAGATTTGAGAGGGGAGTATTGAAAGTTGTTATATGTGGAATTCCTTAATTTGCAAATAATCCTTGTTAGTTTGTATTCACTATCTGGAGAATTAATAGAATAAATTTGGATTTGTCTAAGACGATAATCATATATTGCAAAAACAAATGGACCAATACACAAGGGTGACTTGGTGAACGTTTTATCTGTAAACCAATGTAATTCAATACAAACGTCTAAAAAACGTGAAATTTCGCTTAACTCATGTTTCTACGTACTTTTTTTAAGAAGCCAAAATCTAATCTAATAATTAATTTCAATAAATTAACTGACTAATATACCAGTGTCATTAGTGGAAGCATCTAAACCTGTAATCCTAGACTTTATACTGTTTGTGAAATTCATTTATAAGGTATTTAAATACCATACGATGATCAATAACATACGAGTTGTATTAATGCTGAGGGCTGATCTGTGGATGAGATAGCATTTCTGATTTAAGAGAAGCACAGAGGTACTTCTTTCTTGCTTTTGACGACTGCTGCATCCAGATTTATGGATGTAGATTGGCTTTAAGTAAAATTTACACACCTTTGTAACACATGGTATTGGCTTAAATGGTCCATACAATGCCTAGTCAACATACTCGACAGGTTTGATGAAGTTTCCAAAGTAAGCGAAGTGATTAACGCGTTTACCTACTTTATTCTTGAAAATCAGACTGGATAAAAGACCAGTTTTGGACTATAATTTGGAATTCCGAATGACAGAAACGAATCCTCGACATCCTTGCACCGTCACTTAAGCTGTTCATAGGACTATTAATTAAGTCAGTAACATCATCATCTTTAGGAACATTGAGCAAAAGATAAGGGATTAATAGTGATTTCCGGAAATACATGATTAAGGATTTGAGCATAATATAATTTCACTATCTTTAGTGAAGTGTAGAATAAATCACCATAACTCAGTAAATATCATGCGCACCTATTTCATTGAAGTCTTCAAATCGTAGTTTTCCAGAATCTTCTTTGATGTTGTAGTCCTCCAAAGTTTTTAGAACCTCTTGTTTTTTTAACTCAAATCCAAGTGCTCGAAGTGCAACCTGTAAGGAAAATCATGATACATATCACGATCATACCTTGAATTCGTAATAACTGATCTGTTGATCTTTATCTGTATCAAAAAGGTCAAATGCTTCAACAATTTCTTGTTTTTGTCCTGCTGTAAGTTCTCTTCGTTTCCGACGTCGAATATTATCTGTAATTCCTGTACATAAAATGATAGATATAAACTTCTCAGATAAAACAAAATAACTTTTAAATCAAATGTAAATTCCGGTGTATTGGAAAATTAATGAGAAAAAAAGTCTAAAAAGTGTATGAAAGCTATGTATAAACCGGCAGCTGGGTGACCTGTGTTAATGAACTAAAAGGACTACAAGTTGGCTCGATATTTGAATACACAAAGCCTGAGGAACTGAGATGGGCCATTTTTGTTTCAACAGAGTACTCCAGTTTGTATTTATGGTAAATATGAACTTCTTCAAAATAGTCGTAAAAAACGTTAAAAAGGAGGTACATCATATTAAACATTATTTATTACTAGCATATTTTATACCAATACTTTAAAACCAGTACAATATGAGGCTCAGTTTCTGAATATATTATTGATACAATGGCATTTTACATTCAATAAAATGTTCTGCCCAAAATGGATGGATTAAAACCAAAAGTGACTGGTCGAATAATACTTCAAGAGTAGATGAAATTAATAATTAAGGTGTTTGTTGGTAATTCGCCATGGTCCTAACACAGCTTTCTGATTTTTCAAATCTTTTTTATGTCATTAGTTCTTCGTTATCTCCTCTATATTCGCCAAACGAGTGATTTTCTATTTACGAAGCTCTATGAGTCCAAACACCAACATATCAATTAAAATTTTATATTTTGGTTATAACTAGAAATATACGAATCAGACGAACAAACGAATAAATAGGTGAAAGTGCAGTTCAGCATAATCAACAACGAACCCAGCATCAAATATACTTCGTGTAATGTTACAGGTCTAGCCCCGATTTGGGAAGTACCAACTGTGATTTCGACTGAGGATATGTTCGAATAAGAAGCATTAATCCAAGCTAACGCTATACGTAAACAAAATACGCCCCATATTAAAAAAAAAGAAACGACAATCTATACGAGGAAACAAGATGTGAAGAAATTATAACTCCTATTGATCGAAAGTTGGGTCATGTAATGGAATGAGGCCTCAAGAAGTAAAAACATAGACGCGAAAGATCTTCTCCCGTAATCAAGGGTAGACTCATAACCTCTATTTTGACCTACATTATGGCAATGATAATATTGAGAGGATGGTCAAACATGAGTAAATGGTGCACGTTTTGGATTCGATAGCGATAACTTCAACAGTTGCAAATAAAACAAGTTTAGTCTGGTTTAAATTTGATTACTTGGGATTTGGAGGAGTCAAGGGACTAGGAAACAGCCCAAATCAACGATCAAGGTTTGCAGCTGGTTGAGCATACCGCGAAGGATTCTACCACGAACTGCCCTGGGTGTATATCACGAAGGTTTAAAAGAAGAAACCTTTGAGATTTTATGTCACACTCATATGGAATGACGTCTACAGCATTATATCACAGCAACCAATTCAAGTTTGAACTATTTGGCAAAATGCTATCAGTACAATATCTAACGCCATTCTAGTTCAAAAACTTGGCAATAGCAATCTCATTTAAAACAAAATAGGCGGCACTGTTTTAGACGGATTCCACCACATCAAATAATCCTAGGACGAACCTGAGTCCATCACCAAGATAAACTATGTCTTCGAAACTTCCCCAACTTTGTTCAATATTCAATTTCAAGGTTACAGTCATAAGTTTCGAATGGTACAAATGGTTCTGGATGGAACAGAAGAAGCTTTCGCCTAACGGGGGTCCATATCTGGTAGCAGTAGTTCATTGATGCTTCCTTTCAAGACCCTAGTTATATCTGACGATAAAAAGAGAAATATCAGTGAACAACGATGTGCTGTCCTGAGTCCGTTAGAATATTTCAAGCATACTCTTGAAGAACTCCTGGGAAGTCACCTGAACCACCTCAGAATTTGAATGCTCATAAAGAGTAAAAGATTTTTCTGCAGTCCATTCTGCTATGTTGTGTCTCCGATTTCTGGGTGCTAACTACAGGGTTTGTGTTGGGACTGAGCTAACGTAAGTTTTGAACAGGCGGTATTCAGGGATGTTCAGGATGCTATGAATCATAAAAAATTCAACTGTGAGATGCCTATGTTGCGACGAGTAACGATTCAGGGATTTAATGCGCTCTTCATAAGGTATGAATTCGAGTTCTTGATGTGATTTCATGACTTGCCTTTGAAGACGTTTCGGGTGTTCTTATTCTTTTGGAGTAAGGAAAAAACACGATATTTCCATACTCTAGATGGGATCCAAAAAAATGGTGAAGAATAAGTGGTAAGTTTCTTCGTCAAACCGACCAAACGTGCACTTAAATGTTACCAGTACAAGGTTTTGTCAAAGGTGTTTTCGTCGCAATTAGAGTAAGATTTCAGATCATAGGTGATGTGTGAGCGAGATTGATAATGATTGGTTGTTTGCTTAGTCATACATGCAGATGGTCTGACAGGTGTCAGATGAGTTATATATTCTCTTATCCTTACTATTATTACTCTGACTTATTATGGATTGTTCATTGTTGTTGGTTTGTATCGGGTTTTCGGTGTGGAAACATATTTGCGCTGTGGTCAGGCTGACCACGTGTTCTTGATCTGAGTTGTGTTGACGTCCTGTAGGATAGACAATGGGAAGGAATCTAGTATAGATATTCGTCTAAGGTAGATTACCGTCCCATACGTGTAAACGTGCAAACCAACCGTTATAACATTGGACAAAGTAAAACTGAGCGTTAAAACATTTGTCTCCGAGTTGCTAAAGTGTAGTGTTTGAATGAACCAATGATACCTCTGTACTTGTTGCATGCTTGATTCTAAATTCCAAATACAGTTCATCCGTTCGTGGTCATCTAATACTTTTTGATCCGATTACGCAATTTTTGGGATTCTTAGTTCAGACTATAATCCAAATACTTCTAATTATCACATTGGCGTCGCGATGGAGCCTGTGATGGAACTGTTGGATTTACATTCAGATCTTGGTGCTTTTGGGGATTACTTTGGAAGGTTCGAAATCTGGACTATGACCAGAGAAGATGCTGAGGATGTTAATATTGTGGCATATTTCCTCACATTCATCGGAAAAGAAGCATACAGCGTACTAAGAACTCTGGCTATGCCGGAATAGCCTATCTCGCTTCTTTATACAACTCTCCAGGATCTACTGCTGGACTATGTTAAGTATACAAATCTCGAATGTCGTGAAGGAAAAAGATTTCGCAAAATGATTCACATGGATATAAAAAATTCCACTTCATTATGTCATCCCAACTCAGTGAATGCTCAAGGCTATGCAGTTAATTCATTGAGGAGTTTGGATGCATTTCGCGAGGATGAGCACAAGTTTGGTCAATGTTTGTCCTGTTGCAAGTTCCACTCTTCTAATTCGTGTAAATTCCGTAATTCTAAGTTCTTCAGATGTCGTGATATTGGACATATTCAGTCAGTTTGTAATACTACTGTTCATCTTTCTGCAACCAATATTAAGTCTTGTAATTCTGATTCTACTGAGTCGAGTATTCATGATGATCATTTATCTTTATCAACGATTTCAAAAGACAGTACAGAGTCATATGGCAGTTCAGAGTTAAATGAAATCCAGAATTCTTGTGAGACAACAGTTCCTAATCAACCGATTTATCAGAATTCTCATGCTATTGTATCAGGTATGACTTTTCCTAATGATTCACATATTTCTAATGAAATTACTTGCAATTCTGAGGAAAATATGTTAAATGAACCTAATCATGATCGAAAACCTGATGTGGTTTGGATAGATGCTGATTTTTTTAACGACCCTACGCTCTGCAATGACAGTCCTAATAAATTTCATAAGAATATTTCAGAAGAATCAAATCCTGATGTCATATCATATATTACCTATCCTCATAATGCATTTGATCCTTGTGAAAAACCTGCTCAATGTGAAGCACGAGTACTAAGTGACCTCGAGTTTTATTACATTTCGGATGATTTCATATCAACTGCTGTTTACCATTATCACAAAAACAGTTCTAATGTTTACTCTAAACATTGTGAGAAATATGTTTTAAATGAAGCCACATTATTCATAACTTGGGGATATAAAGATCCAACATTATTTCGTGGGGGAGGATAGTGTTGAAAAATCTATGGTTCGAATTCTAGATATTAATGATTTCATTACAAAACCGATATGCTGATTGTATACAATTCCAGGTGAGTTTATTCCGATTTCGTTTGTTAATTCCAATACTAATGAGCACTTTCTAGATATTACAAAGTTTTTATCATATACAATGTCGGACAGACTCAGAATGAACTTAACAAGAAGACATACAACCGATTACAAACACTTATACTTCTATTTAAGCTGTGGCGGATGTGGTGTTTGAATGAACTAATGATACCTTTGTACTGGTTGAATGCTTGATTTCGAATTCTAAATACAATACATTCGTTTGTGCCTGTGTCTTCTTAATTAAATTGCGTTAATCCTGGGATTCCTAGTTCATACGATAATTCGAATACCATAAATCCTTAAACCTCGTATATAGTTCGTCTTGATAACCGTTCTATATAACGCCCCAACGGTATATTAATCAGAAGGCGAATACGAAGCGTTTATTTCGTTTATTACGGGACCACACACACAGATATCCAAAATTACAGATGCGTTAAACAAGCACAAAAGAGTTGTGCCGAAAAGCAAGCAAGCGAGAGAGTCAGGGAATATGAATACGAGTACGCGAGTACAATTAAGCGAGCAAGAGGGCAATGAATATGAATAACATGGACATATATGTTCATAAACACGCCTATTAGACTGTTTGCGTATTTCACGTCACCTTTATTTCTATTCCCTTATTTTCTCCATTTCCTTCTTTAAACTCAATTCAATATTCTTCTCAATTGCACAGACCCGATTTATTATTATTAATATTCTACTATTATTGCTCTAAATTTTTTTTCTAATGGCAAGTATAATGCTGACATTATTGAAAATTGTGTATTATTGCATTTTTTGAAGAAACCCGAAATGGTTTCTTCACAACACTTATGTACCCATAAGATGTTTGTGAATAATAATAATAATAGTGAAATGAATGAGTCATCGAATCAAATAAGTGGTTAGTTGCAAGACTAGCATAGTGAATAAATGCGTGAGCCGTAAGCAATATTCAGGTATACATGTTCAAACATTTGCAATAGTAATGAAGACACAATGATATAGATAAGTTGTTGTTAGGATGACTCAGTTCGTTAATAAGTTAATAAAATGACTTGATTAAATTAATTGTGAACAAACTCAGTTTCACGTGATCTGTTATAAGACGCAGGATGAACTTGAGAAGAAGACGCACAACTGATTACAGACACCTAGACTCCAATTTAAGCCGTGGTGGATGTGGTGTTTGGGTGAACTAATGATACCTATGTACTTGTTGCATGCTTGATTTCCAATTCTAAATACAGTACATCCGTTCGTGGTCATCTAATACTTTTTGATCCGATTACGTTATTTTTGGGATTCTTAGTTCAGACTATAATCCAAATACTTCCGATTATTACATAAATAATAATAATATTTTATTCTCAAATAACAGGCATGCCGGTTTACTGGCAAGTTCAAATTTTTTACAGATGTTACAATACCCAATGTAGTAAATTACTTAGCTGGGTTGATAATTTAAAAGATATGACTGTAGATGGTTTTGGTCAGTATCACTGTTGGCGCGCTTCATGAAAGTCGCGTTGCGAATGTACAACTGATGGTCAAGGATAGGTCCATTGAAGGTGGAAGCTTCTAGAAATCGCAACCAAATATCCCTTTGGAATATCTAAGGCTTTAAGGATGGTGCAGGATGGAGTCACCAGTACCATTCTCAAGGGGGCTGAAAGAAGGAGCAAGTAAAAGAAAACACGAGAGGCAGAGTAGCCGATATTCATGAAGGAATGTTTAAGGTATGATTACTCATCCTAATTTTCCTTTACTAAGGTATTTGTTAAGCAATAGCGTTTTAATAGGTTAAAGAAAATAAGTGTAAACAAAGTATGAGTGGACATACAACTACAAATGGAGGGGATTCAGAAAGGAGTTGAAAGTATGATTATGTGTGGTCGTAAAATATAGTACTAAAAACAGTATCGTGATATACCATTGACCATCTTCCTTTTTTATCGAAGCTGTTGGAGCCCTTTTCATCCTTTTTTGTATTATTATTATTATTTTTTTAAGTATCATAGGGTCTTGAGTAGGCTTCGTATATTATCGAATTGTCTAGTTTGCTTGTAGTAGGATTACTGAGTAGGAAGTGAAACCAATTCAACGTTCGTAACACGATTTAATGAGGTATTTTGCATGGTAAATCAGAATTAATACCTTAAGTTCGTAACATCTCACTAAACCATAAGGAGCCGTAATTAAACGAAATGTTCTGCCCTACAGAAATGGGTGGATTGAAGTTATTTCCCCACCATCATTTTTGCTGGTCAGTAACGCCACCCTCCCTCCATTTGTGATGTTAGGCTCTCTTACGTTTGTGGTAAGTATGAATACTGCTTTAATCAGAGCCCTTAGTTGGAATACACTGTCTCTACTAGGTTTATTTATTTATTTGAACACATGAATATTGGTACAGAAGAGCGCCAATATATATGCGCCACACAAAACAATGAGAATTCGAAGAGAAATAATTAAAAAAAACTTACTTACTTACGCCTGTTACTCCCAATGGAGCATGGGCCGCTGACCAGCATTCTCCAACCCACTCTGTCCTGGGCCTTCTTTTCTAGTTCCATCCAATTCTTGTTCATTTTTCTCATGTCTATCTCCAGTTCTCGGTGTAATGTGTTCTTTGATCTTCCTCTTTTCCTTTGGCCTTGAGGATTCCATGTGAGGGCTTGTCTTGTGACGCAGTTCGGTGCTTTCCTCAATGTGTGTCCTATCCACTTCCAGCGCTTCTTCCTGATTTCTTCCTCCACTGGGATCTGGTTTGTTCTCTCCCACAGTAGGTTGTTGCTAATAGTGTCCGGCCAATGGATCTGAAGTATTTTGCGTAGAAAATTGTTAATAAACACCTGTATTTTCTGGATGATGGCTTTCGTAGTTCTCCAGGTTTCTGCCCCATACAGTAGAACTGTCTTGACATTTGTATTGAAAATCCTGACCTTGGTGTTGGTTGACAGTTGCTTTGAGTTCCAGATGTACCTCAGTTGTAAATATGCTGCTCTTGCTTTGCCGATCAGCGCCTTCACATCTGCATCAGATCCACCCTGTTCATCAATGATGCTGCCCAAATATGTAAAGGTTTTTACATCTTCCAAATCTTCTCCGTCAATTGTGATTGGATTGGTGCATTCTGTGTTGTATCGGAGAATCCTGCTTTTCCCTTTGTGTATATTGAGACCTATTGCTGCTGAGGCTGCTGCCACGCTGTTTGTCTTCTCCTGCATCTGTTGTTGCGTTTGGGATAGAAGGGCCAGATCATCTGCGAAGTCTAGGTCATCCAACTGCATCTTAGATGTCCATTGTATCCCGCGCTTTCCTTCAGACGTTGACGTCTTCATGATCCAGTCGATCACCAGGAGAAAGAGAAAGGGTGAGAGTAAGCAACCTTGCCTAACACCGGTCTTCACTTCGAACGACTTTGTCAACTGTCCTCCATGCACAAAAAGAAAAAGAGAACAATAACGAAGAGATTGGTGTAAGGTAGTGTGGTAGTAACGAGGGAACGGAAAGGTACAATCAGAAGAAATCTTTCAGGTAAGGGAGACACAACCACTTTTTATGAAGAAAGTAAAAGAAGGTTACAGCAGGATCGCCACTGGCTTCTATTCTGAGCCATATCTGATAACGTCTCTAGCCACTGTGTAGCACCATCTCTCGGACCTCAACCAAGGAGCCGTGAGGGACCGACAGAAGCAAGTCCTTTGCAGTTTTCTTTCATACCACGACACCATGTCATGCACTGACCACCTTTCCGCTTCTTCCAACCAGTCCCAGAGTCGGCAAATAATGCACGACGTGGAATTCTCTGGGACGACATTTGTAGAACATGTCCAAGCCACCGAAGTCGGTGTTTCAAGATGGTGACACCAATCGGATTATCATCTCTGTTCCCGAACACACGATGCCGAACCTCTGCATTACTAACATGGTGTTGCCACTGAATGTCAGCAATCCTTCGGAGACAACGATGATCGAACACAGAGAGTCGTCTAACGTCCTCAACTCGGAGAGGCCATGTTTCACAAACATAGAGCAAAACTGCTCTCACCGACGCGTTTTAGATCCGAACTTTTACAGCCAGACTAACATCACGAAGGCGCCAAAGGTGGCCCAGATTGGCGTAAGCCGCTCTGGCTTTCACTATACGTGCATTGACCTCATCACTCACACCCCCACCAGCACTTATGCAGCTACCCAGATACACGAACTTCTTGACTACTTCTATCTGCTCACCATCCAGGGTGAGTACAGGATTAGAATCCTGCCAGTCTTGTAGAAGTACTTTGCACTTCGAAGGTGCAAAGCACATACCATACCTACGGACACTGATTGCCAACTGATTAAGTGCGGATTGCATCGCTTGGGCATTATCGCACAGTAAGACAATATCATCCGCATACTCAAGGTCGAGAAGTCTTTCTCCAGGCAACAGATCCACACCACCATTACTTACATTCATCAGTGCTGTTTCCAGAATGTCATCGATGGCAAAGTTGAAGAGGAATGGTGAGATTGGGCAACCCTGCCTAACCCCACTGCTCGAATGGAACAATGGAGAGAGGTGGTTGTATGCCCTCACTCTGCCTGAAGTGTTTTTATGAAGGGCTTTTAGGATGTTAATAAACTTCTCAGGCACACCCTTCTTCAATAGACAATCCCAGAGAACAGTCCTGTCCAACGAATCGAAGGCAGCCCTGATGTCAAGAAACACTACGATTGTTGGCCTTTGATAAGTATGGCTGTCTTCTAACATTTGGCGGAGGGTGAAGATATGATCAATACATCCTCGACCAGAACGAAACCCAGCCTGCTCCTCGCGAGTCAATCTTTCTCGGGTTTTGAACAACCTACGAAGTATGACGGAAGCCAATAGCTTGGACGCAATCGGAAGAAGACTTATCCCCCGATAGTTGTTACGGGAACGACGTGAACCCTTTTTAAAGATAGGGACAACTATCGACTCATTCCATGACGTTGGTACACTCTCTAGTTCCCCGACTCTTGTAAACAGCGTTGTCAGTTCCTTAACCAGGTCACCACCATCTTCGAAAAGAGCCGGAGGTAAGTCATCTGGGCCAGGTGATCTGTAGCGCTTTAAGAGTTGGAGTTCCCTGCAGACTTCCACCTCATTTGGTGGATCAGTCGTCACCGGCCATGGAGGGCAGGACAGTCTGACCGATGCTGCCGCAGCAGCAGGTCGATTGAACTGCCCTTCGAAAAATTCTGCCCATCGTCCGAGACGTCGATGGATGTTAGTGATTGGCATGCCGTCATTCTCGTAGATTGTTCCGCTCACACCACACTTCTTGCTGCCAGTGGCTCAGATGAGTTGGAAGAGCTTCCGACAGTTACCAGATGCAGCCGCTGCTTCCAGCTCATTAGCACGCTCCGACCACCAGGCTTCTCGGTCCTTACACAAGCTTTGCCTAATTTCAGTACGTAACATCCTTCGTTTATGGTCAAACTCACGGTCACCCAGAGTAGACCGACGGGCTTCAATGAGTTGTAAGGAGCCAGAAGAAACCCAGTGCTTGTAAGCGTGACGTTTCGCGAACCCACAACTGACTGTACCCACCATTTTCATGGCGTCATGCAATTGCAACCAATGCTCATCTATACTTTTCGGTGGAATGGTAGCTAGCCTAGAAGCTAGCTCGATTCGATACCTACTTGCAATAGGAGTTGCAAACAGCTTGCTAACATCAATCCGTTGGTGGCGGTCACTTCGTTGTCCACTGAAAAGTAAGGTAAGATTGGCGCAGACCAAAGCATGGTCAGAGTCCAGATAGGTACTCCAAAAGGAGAGGCAGTCTTGTACACAACCACGCCAGCGGTAGCTGATCGCGATGTGATCAATCTGAGTCCAGGCTTGAGATGAAGAGGGAGGACGCCAGGTGGCACATCGGCGATGACTGTGCTGAAAGTTAGTGCTAGCCAGAAACAGGTTGTGGTCTGTGCACAGTTGCAGTAGACGGTCCCCGTTATCTGACCTGCGACCAACGAGTCCTCATCGGCCACCTAAACGACTCTCTTCTGTGCCTAGACGCCCGACCTGAGCATTCAAGTCTCCGGCTAGTACTACAATATCTGTCGAACGCACTTTCTGGAGAAGAACAGATAACTGGTGGTAAAACTCATCCTTGATTGCATCCGGGCTGCAATCTGTCGGGGCATAGGCGGAGATGACGAAAAGACATCGTTTCTCACGCCGATGTCTTCTCACTTTGATGGAACTTTCTAATCTAACAGCACATAACCGACTGTTAATGGGGATCCAATCGATTAGTGCTGCTTCAGCTCTAGCGCTTATTGCGACACCAACGCCAGCAAGACCAGACGAAGATGCCACAGGGTCCCCGGATAAGCGCACGTAAAACAAGCTTTTCGAAGCGACAGATAGAGAGCGAATTTGTAGTACTTCGCCAGAGTCTTGAATACGGGTCTCGGATAGACAACAAACATCAATATTAAGACTTTCCAAAGACATAGCCAGCCCTATCTGTTGTCCGACCTGCGTAAGTGTGCGAACGTTGAAGGCAGCCAGTTTGAATGGTGGATGTGGTTTCAGAAAAACTGCTTCAGTCCTCGTATTCGGTGGTAACATACAATTTTCAACCGGACAGTGACTCGAGAACGTTTAGATACAGTCGAATCTCCACCAAAGACGAGCCGCTGTATAAGTATAAAAGAGGGTGAATAATGTGGAAAATAATAATAATAATGACAGTCAGTCAGTAACAACGTAGAACTTCGTACGCACGTACATTAGTTCGAGTTGCCACACCACATTAGCACAGAGATCCACTTGTCGATTCAAATCCCGTAGTGGTAGAGGTAATAAGAGTATAAGCAGTAATCGGGAAGATAATAATGACAATAATAGTAATAATAATAATAGTATTAATAATGACAATAATTGTAATGGTAATAATTTGAATCAATTGTAATTTCCATAGGCATAAAGAGTTCATCATTTGTGTGTGGGCTGTGGTACTGCCCGGGTGCCCAAACCGAAGCAGGTGGTTATCTTAGGGGGCCACTCCCCGAGCCTTTGACCTAAAGGTCTAACCCACAAGGAAGTGGAGCATCGTAAGGAGATGCTATCCCATGGTAGCCGGTGACCAACGATTGGTTCATACGCCATTTGTTCCCGCAGGATACTGGAGCCCATGTGCACCATTGGTTTGGAATCCGGTTAAAGCGACGGACATTCGCTTTTCGTCCTCTCATTTTCGTAAACAACACCCCCGCCACGAAAAGGCAATGAGTAGGACTTCCCTGGCAGAGGCTGTATACGCGCGGCCGTATGAGAGTATTTCGAGAGGGAGAGCGGACTCTCCCCACTCTCGGCCGTACCCTCTTATATATAAGTATGTCAATATCTGTAATAATGTTGAATTTTAAATATTTTAGGTTGTAAGCAGCTGATGAGAACCTAACGAAATAAAATTAATTCATATTATTCTGTATCAACCTTTGTTCTTGCTCTTTTTAAGATAATAAAGGGAACTATGTGTATGAAATACCAGTCGAGTCAGAGCTTATGGCGAACTGTCATCTGATTTTGCAACCTCAAATGGTGTCCCATAAGACTGTTTACTATCTTCGTTTTTGTTTAACTTCATCACAGACCTACTGCTGGAAATAACTTTCTCGTCGACTGAACTTTCAGGAATTGACCAACTACCAAGAGGTCCACTTATGGACTTGGAATACACAGATGACATAGTCCTGCTTCGTGAAGACGCTGATAAAATGCAGAGTCCTTCAGTAGCAATGACCAACAATGCCGGAGTGTTTGGTATGCGTTCTTCCCACTCTAAATGCAAGTTGTTGCTTCAGGACTGACCTGAATCAACACCTGAACTAAGGATCGGAAGTGAAGTAGTTGAACACATCTGATCAGCCGAAATGGGATGGTGTCTGATGAAATCTCAGCACGGACTCAGAAAATTCGTTTGGCTTTTGTCAACTCACGTCGCCTATGGCGAAGGCGAGATATCCGTCTATCAATTAAAGGACGAGTATACTGCACAGCAGTTCGTTCTATTCTTCTTTACGGCTGCGAAACGTGGTGTTGAAGAGTAGAGGATACTCGTAAGTTACTAGTATTTGATCGAAGATGTCTTAGAAATATTGCTGGCGTCTGCTTGGACCACCGGGTAGGTAATAGTGAGGTTAGGCGCAGAGTATTAGGAAATGATGATAAATCAGTTGATGAGGTCGCGAATCTTCATCGACTGAGATGGTTGTGCCACGTGTTACGCATGCCTGAACACCGATTACCACGACGCGCAATGCTGACTAGTGTTGGAGACGGTTGGAAGAAAGTTAGGGGTGGCCAAACCAAAAAGCGGCATCAGTCCTTGAAGTCACTAACTCCTAGTCTGAGCCATGTTGGTAGATGCAGACTACTTGGTTGGGGTCAGCGTGACTATCGTAACCAATGGTTGGAGACTTTGTGTGACATGGCTCAGAATCGATCACTCTTTGTCTTCCTTTAAACCGTGAGATTAAAATTGCTTTATGTCTTTCCTTCTGCGAACTAATTCTTTCTTCCTGTACTATACATACAATCTTTCTTTTATGCATTACTACCACTGAAGTGACTACTTTTATGAATTTGGTGTTTATCTTGTTGCGCTAATGAGGTGTGGCAACTTGAACCGATGTATATATGTGCCTAGTCCTACGTTGTAGCTGACTTTCTGTTGATTACCTTCAAATACTTAACATCAAACAAAGTGCGCTATGATACCGACTAGTAAGATATGTTCATAGCCGAGGTCTAGACAAGGGATTGGTTACTGCTACGTGATTAATTATTCGATTCAGCTGATGAGAGTTAAAAGTGAATATATTTATACCAACAATCCTCACATTAACAGGTTAGTACTCTATCGAATGGATTATGTAATCTGACAAACAATGACAAAGTCCTGGATTTTTCCAAGTGTTATTATCAAAACTGATTATCACATTAACAAAAGATATGTAAAGTTGATTTTATTATATAACATCACACAATAATGAAGTGTATTTACTTGATGATTACAGCGACAATCAAATCAGGTTTTCAAAAGTTATGAAACCTATATTTTCTTATAGATTATGTTTAACCATGACTTAGAGCATTTCTTGTTGCTTTTACGTTAGACAATATACATGATATTTATATACGTATATAATGTATTTTACATAAATGTGAGAAAGCTGTGAACAATAAAAGTAGAAGAATGTAGATTATTTTTGAAATATTTTAAAGAATTGAACAGAATGATAATATACATAGATGATGATGCCCAGTAAGAGCAAATAAATAAGATGAAATACTTTTTTTAGTGTAGACCAACTGCCATCAACAATAATCACCACCCATATCGGGAGCTGATCGTTCACAAACACAAAAAACAGCATCGAATTCAAAAGGAAGGCAGATTCAAACTATACTGGTCATATCAAACTGAGTTCAGAAGAATGAAGATATGTATTTAACTGGAATAACTAAGTACACAGTTATTGGTTTGATTCAATAAACAATTTGGTGAATTATATTTCCTTTGTCATTAGTGCCATAAATTCTTCCAAATTAACTAAGAAAGGAAGTATGAGAATAAATTACAACAATAATTGATATGACAATACTGAATACAATGTATATTACGCATAAAACAGATTCAACATATTTTAGAGTTACTAAACGATAAACAATTTAAACTAGTACTACAATATCTGTCGAACGCACTTTCTGGAGAAGAACAGATAACTGGTGGTAAAACTCATCCTTGATTGCATCCGGGCTGCAATCTGTCGGGGCATAGGCGGAGATGACGAAAAGACATCGTTTCTCACGCCGATGTCTTCTCACTTTGATGGAACTTTCTAATCTAACAGCACATAACCGACTGTTAATGGGGATCCAATCGATTAGTGCTGCCTCAGCTCTAGCACTTAGTGCGACACCAACGCCATCAAGACCAGACGAAGATGCCACAGGGTCCCCGGATAAGCTCACGTAAAACAAGCTTTTCGAAGCGACAGATGGAGAGCGAATTTGTAGTACTTCACCAGAGTCTTGAATACGGGCCTCGGATAGACAGCAGACATCGATATTGAGACTTTCTAAAGACATAGCCAGCCCTATCTGTTGTCCAACCTGCATAAGTGTGCGAATGTTGAAGGCAGCCAGTTTGAATGGTGGACGTGGTTTCAGAAAAACTTCTTCAGTACTCATATTTGGTGTTAACATACAATTTTCAACCGAACAGTGACTCGAGAACGTTTAGATACAATCGAATTTCCACCAAAGACGAGCCGCTGTATGAGTATAAAAGAGGGTGAATAATGTGGAAAATAATAATAATAATAATAATGACAATAATAGTAATAATAATAATAGTAATAATAATGACAATAATTGTAATGATAATAATTCGAATCAATTGATTGTTTTTCGAAGCGAGAAAAGTAATTTCCATAGACATAAAGAGTTCATCATTTGTGTGTGGGCTGTGATACTGCCCGGGTGCCCAAACCGAAGCAGGTGGTTATCTTAGGGGGCCACTCCCCGAGCCTTTGACCTAAAGGTCTAACCCACAAGGCAGTGGAGCATCGTAAGGAGATGCAATCCCATGGTAGCCGGTGACCAAGAAATTGGTTCACACGCCATTTGTTCCCGCAGGATACTGGAGCCCATGTGCACCATTGGTTTGGAATCCGGTTAAAGCACCGGACATTCGCTTTTCGTCCTCTCATTTTCGTAAACAACACCCCCGCCAGGAGAAGGCAATGAGTAGGACTTTCCTGTCAGAGGCTGTATACGCGTGGCCGTGTGAGAGTATTTCGAGAGGGAGAGTGGACTCTCCCCACTCTCGGCCGTACCAGGGCATTCGGGGGCTCTCTACTAGGTCCATGTTACAAGCAAATCAGATAGTTAGAAAGTTTGTATTATAGGTTAGATGTCCATTTAGTATATCACACTGCTACGAAGATAACTAATGGTTTAAAGAAGTAAGGACTAATAGCAAATCAAAGGATATGAAAGAGTATATAATTGTAAAAAAAGATTTTAGGGTAAGAAAGATAAAACATTGAGCACCTCACAAGACTCTACGACCAATTTTGAGCATTGTATGATCGGCCTTACTAGATTAGCATCCATATGATTAGTGAGTTATCTGTGTACTTGCAATAGAAAACAAGGCATGACTTTTAGGAAGAATAATGTACATTTAACCTGTAGAGAGATTTGGGAACTGAAAGTGAGGGTTAGGAGCATAAAGCCATGATTAATAAACAATGAATAATAGGAAAGGATAAGCCATATATTCTGTGATTTGGTTATATTCATATTAATAACAGTCAGGTTAGTTATATTCTTTTTCTGTCTAGATACTAGGTGGTCCGTAATAAAGTGCCTCATTGGTGGGTGGGAGTTCAAGGAAATGTTGAAGCTCTTTGGAGTCTAGAAATAGGGTTATTAGCTTTTTGAATCTGGTAAACGTATCGCAGTTACGGATAGGCATTGGCAGCCTGTTCCACAATAAACTATACCTTACTGTAAAAAACGCGTTTGTTTTTGGTGTTTTACGGTAAGTAGTGTATATGCGTTGTTTCTAAGTCTATAGGCTGGGTCGTGGGTGATAGTTGGGCAGGAGGTTAGAAAGGAGAGCCCATATATCGCTTTGCAGAGAAATATTAAATTGTTTTTTAGCCTACGGTGCCATAAAGGTTCTAAAGATAGGTGCTTACATCTGTCTGTGTAATCGAGATTCGAGTTACATCCTAGTAGTTGACGTGTGAAACGTCTTTGAACATTTTCTACTCTTATCTTGTCTGCGATATTCATATTAGAGAAGACAAAAGAGAAGTATTCAAGGGAGGGTCGTACACATATTTTGTAGAGAGTAAGTTTACCCTCTGTTGTGAAAAACTTTTCATTATAAAACCAATTAGCCGTCTAGATTTAGAAATAATAGAGGAGGCATGTTCTTCAAAGTTCAGGCTTTCTGTGTAATTAATTCCTAAATCGTGTACTGATTCGAGTGTTTGGACTATACATTCATTTAAGTGAAGTCGCGGTTTATAGGGATGCTTTCCAAAGTGCATGATCCCGCACTTGTTGAGGTTAAATGGTAATTGCCATTTTTCACTCCATATAGTTAAGTTATTGAGGTCCTTTTGGATCTGGGATACACTTTCGCTTAGTGTCTCAGGCTTATAGCTGTATACTATTTTGAGATCATCAGCATATAAGTATGGTTTCCCAAATTCTATGGTGTTACATATATCGTTTATATACATAAGAAACAAAAGTGGACCTAATACGCTTCCCTGGATGACTCCAATGGTGATGGGTCTAGGGGACGAGAGACAGTCATTATACTTTACCATCTGTTTACGTTCTGTTAAGAACGAAGCAAACCATGAGTACAGTGGGTTGTGTATTCCGAAGGACTTTAGTTTGACGAGTAGCCTTTTGTGTGAGACCTTATCAAAGGCTTTCTTAAAGTCTAAGAATATAACTGATACAAGGAGTCCGCCGTCTCGTTTCAGAATTATATCATTCAGGTAGTCTACTAGGCATGTATTGCATGATCTGGACCTAAGAAATCCATGCTGGGAGGTCGAGATGAGATTATTAGTTAGTAGATGTTGGACTACAGCCGCCTTAATAACTTTTTCCATCACTCTGGATACCACTGAAGTTATGTTTAAAGGCCGGTAATTTTCAACGTTTGCTTCAGGTCCTGTTTTAATTTTGGGAATGATATGTGTAGTTTTCCAGACAGTATGGTAACACGCTGAAGAGAGTGATATCGCGAATAGTTTGAGAAGCTAAACACACATATCATCACCTCCACGTTTTAGCATGCTAGATGGAATACCATCTGGTCCATCAGAGTAGGAGTGTTTCAATGTACTGATTGCCTTGGAGATATTTTGTTCACTGAATTCTACATTAGTAATTTCACAGAGAGTTACTGGGATTGCTTCTGAATCATTAAATGGCTTTTCGTTAGTTAGTGAGAAACAAAAATGTTCACTAAATAATTCTGTGATAAGTTTGGGATCTTCGTATACTTGTTTGCCTTTAATGAATATACTCCCTCTCGATTTAGAGCGTTTAAGTTTATTTTGGAGTAGTATGGTGAGTGCAGAGGAGTTATTATTAAGTTCGAGTGCACGTTTTTCCTGTGCTACTGCTTTTTGTTCAGTTATTGCCTCTGTTCGAACAAGTATTTCTGTCATCGTTACTAAAGAGGAAAAGTCATTTAAGTTTTGGAATCGAGTACAATGTCTTTGAAGACGTCTTCTTGTACTGACCGGTATATAGAGATCTTTGGAGAACGCAGGTTTACAGTGTTCTAAAGGTGCGATGTTGTTGATGATACTTTTGATGTTGTGATAAAATATATTGGTTAATGTGTCGGTATTGTTTGAGGTAAAGAAAGTTCTCCAATCAGTGATTCTTAGGTAATTGTGGAAGTTATTCCAATCAACCTTGCGATAGTTTCTACGAAGTGTTACGGTTTTACTTCTATCGGTTGTGGTTTTTACATTAAGGCTGCATATGACAATGTTATGATCACTACCTGGGAACTTTTTTCCAATATACAAAGTATTGAGGATGAGGCCACTGGTAAAGACTAAGTCTAAGATGTTTTGATGTCTGGTAGGGCTATCGACATACTGAGTCCATTGTCCAAGCTCTAGACATTCAATAAATGATTCATAACGTCTCGGCGCTTTGACTGGCAGCCAAGAAATTTCGGGCATATTGAAGTCACCACAAATGAGCTTGCCTGTGAATGAGAGGGATGATGCTAGCGTGAATACCTCCGATAATACTGCTATTTCATCTATTGATGCGTTAAGTTGACGATAAACACAGCCGAGCAGTAAGGTAACGGAATTCGACGGCTTTAATACAATCCACACCGAATCCTTCAGTTTGTTTAGTTCAGGCATATCACAAAGCAGTGAGTTTAGGCTAGAGTGAGCGTAAATAAGGCATCCTCCGCCTCGTCCATTCAATCTATCGCTTCTATATAGAAAATAGTTATCAGGAGATATACTTCGGCCGGAAATATTACTGTTTGTCCATGTTTAAGATATCATTATAAGTGATGGTTTATATATGGATACAAGCGGGGCTAGATCCGCCTTTTTGTTGCAGATCGATCGAGCGTTGATAAGACATATTAAGCAAGTGACCTACTAAGTTACAATGGGTGAGGGTATCTCGGATAAAGTCGTCGTAACCCTCGCGGGTGTGAGATGAGTTTGAAGTGAGGGATTGAATGTTCTGCATTAGCTCGGTATTCTGATAGCTAGACTCAGTGGGAGATGTATCAAATGAGCTAGGGAAGTTGGTTGGGGAGTTTACCCAGGAGGAGAGGGTGGGAGTACTCTCTGATGGGAACTGTACGGAAGAAATAGATTTATGGTTTGCATGTGGTTTGAAATAACTTGGGTTATATGCTTCAACAGAGGTGTCACTAGGGGTCTTACTCCAAAAAATTCTTGTACAGGCCTACTGTGAAGTGTATGGTTATTTGCAAAATAATCTTGATGGTTAGACTAGTAGCCTCTGTTATGGCTATTTACGTCAGCGTGAGAGGGGTATGCTGCGCGTAACTGGAAGGAGTTGCGACTGTTATTATACATAGGGGGCGTTTTTATGTGATGGGTTGGTACTAAAGGGCGTGAAAAGTTTTCTTTCTGAGAGTGATTACAGTTGCGATCCTGGGGAATGTAGGTAGGGTGTGGAGTGAGAAACCTATTATGACTATTCTTATGTATGGTTTTAGGCTTCAGGGGGTGATTTGGGTGGCCAGTTCTCTGGTAGTTCTCGTTAGTCTGCGTGTAGGAAGGCTTGCTACGCTGAAGCCCACCACCCATTTTGCAACTTAGAGGTGTTGAAGGCAAGTTATACGATAGCAGCGGGGAGAACCTGTTCACTGCTCTTGGGATACCTATAGAGCAGTTGGGTTCAATCTTACGTGTTCCCCTATTCGGTATCGTGAGTTTTGTCTTCCCACCCTTTATTGTTAGAGCTGGAGTCTTTCGTTGTCTCTGTGAGATGAACTTAGGTTCATTCAAGTCTACTTGTGGGGTATCTTTAGGAAGAAAAATTTTCAAGTGTATAGGTTTAGTCGGATGTGTGTTGTCACACGACTCCCATTTTAGTACATTACTGAGGGAACAGCTGGGATTAGTCATGTCGTTATGGTTTTTGGTGTCAGCTGGGGTCCGTATCTTATCCAAGGGTTTCTGATCTGCAGACTCATCTAGATCAACAGAGTGATCAGCCGTATATGGAGTGGTGTCATGCTTATTGTTCGTGTGTTTCAAACTATTTGCTGTGTTGCAAACTGTCTCTGGCTGATTATTAACTGTGACACTCCCATCCAATTTTATCACTTCACGTCTTCTTACACGACGTTGACAGAGCGTAAGGTCTGGAGTGACTTTTATATTCTTGTATGGAATTAGTGAGCTAATATTTTTGCTCGAATCGATAAACTTCTTAGCATCGTTACAACATCCAAACATAAACAGGAGGGGGCAAGTTGATCTGTCCGACTTTTTTCTAAGGCGGATGACTTTGCAGTTAACGTTTGGCATACCGCATGCTCTAAGGCAAATATCCCTTAACTTAGATGGGTGTGTGCGGTCGGGGAGGTTATACACAACTGTATTGAAGGAGGACATCACCCTTTTCGTCACTTCTTCAGCCACAAACTCCAAAATGCACTCGGCTTTAGTGAGTTGCTCAAGATTCCTGTCTGTGTCGAGGCCCCGTATATGAGTGAGGGGTGCTAGTTGCTCAAATTTGCTGTTAATTTCGGATAGAGAGTTTTGTAGCTGTCGGATGCCATTATTATATATATCAGTACTTCGGTGTGTATGAGATGGACCACTGGACACTTTAGTTCTTGAAATTTTAGATTTAGGCCTTGGTAGAACATATTGTCTAGTAGACTGTGCTGAGTTTTCGATGCACGTCGGAATAGTGTCTTGTATGTCAACCAGTCTTACCTTTGGCATACTGCACGCAGAGATAGAGGGGCTGTGACATGGAGAATCTGGTGGTGATAGAGACATTTGTGTACAATGCACATATTGTTCAGTAGTCAAATGTTCGACATTGTTAGGCACTGAGTCGTCAGTTATAGTGTGGTGCGTGCTACTTATATTGATATAAGTAGTATATAACGTGAGTCAAAAGAACGTAATGTCTGGCATCAGAAGACGGAGAAGATCAAGAAAAGAAGAGCGAGAAAACAATGGAATTTGTTAGAAACTGCATGAGCAATGAAATGCGAGACAATGGATTGATGTCTGCAACAGCAACAGCCCGGTTTGATATGATAGAATGATATTTTGCAAATTAACGATTTACTATATGGTTTTTCTATTTTATCAAGTAATTCTGTAATTTGTCCCAAATACAATTTGGCTGTCCTCACCCGTGTTCTTCTTCACTACATTTGGTGTCGCTGCCTCCACTAAGGATGAAGATTCCATGGCCGGAGGAGTTTGAGGACGGAGATGTGCTGAGCTTCCTGAAGGAGTTTGAGGCCGTGGCGGAGCTGGTGGGAGTGAAGGAGCCGAAGGCGAAGTTGGTGGTGCTGGGGACGCTGCTGAGAGGCAGGGCGAAGGCTGTGTATGACAGCCTGGACGGTGCTGGCGGGAAGACCACATGGGAGGCAGTCACGGAGCGGTTGGCGGCGGAGTTTGACAGCCCAGTGGACAGAGAGGACGCGCTGCAGAAGTTCCGGTTGGCGAGGTTGCCGGTCGATGGGGACCCACTGGTGCTGGCTGTGGAGCTTACCAGATTGTTACGCCGTGCGCTGCCGAGTCTGGATGAGGAGTCGGAGGCACAGTTGTTGGCGTCACAGTTTATCGAGAGTGTGCCTGCCACCGTCTCTCAACAGCTGAAACTGGTGAACGCAGCGCAACCGATGGATATCAGTGAACTGGCGAAGGTGACTCGTCAGCTGATGACGCGAACAGTAGCTCCGGTCGGGTGCGGAAAGCAGGAGATGAGTAATGTCGAGAAGAAGATTAAGGAGCTGGAGCGCGAGATTGCAGCAATACGAGTGAACAATAAAAGGAACGATAAATGTTACGCTTGTGGAGGGACAGGACATTGGAAGATAAACTGTCCAACAAGACGAAGACGCAGATATGTTAGACGTTACAACGAGTGTTCTTTCTATCCTAGGAATCTGGGGATTGTTGCGTTAGTAGACAGAGGGGCAGTATATACGAGAATGAACATAAATGAGCGAGATTTAGTTTGTCTGATCGATACAGGTGAAGCAGTATCGTTAATAGGCAAAGAGCAATGTAAGAGAATCAAGCCGTGTACATTAGCTGTCCACACGATAGGGGGCCATATGTTAGAGGTGTTTGGCGTATCTAACAGTATCGTAAAAGTGGGGGATGCGGAGATAAATTTTCCGTTCGTCGTAACCACAAGCTTATCGAGACCGATATTAGGAGCAGATTTCCCAAGAGAAGTAAAAGCGATAGTTGACTTAAGAAGCGGTAAGGTGGTCACGAAATATGGTTCATTGACAATACACGAAAGTAGCGAGGTGGCGGAAATAAGAGTTGCAGCGGATGTCTCGTCAAAGAAACCAAACATTCACGAGTTATGCAAAAAGTATGCCAAACTATTCACTGGAGATGGGGAGCCGTATGGATTTTGTGACAGAGTAAAGCACGAAATACCGATAAAGAACAGTCGAGTAAATATATTTGCAACACGTCGTGTCCCGGTGCATTTAGAGGCCGAGGTAAATCGCCAGGTCCAGGAAATGTTAAAAGAAGGTATAATTGAGGAAGCGGACAGCCCATATAGCTCGCCGGTACTCTTGGTAAAGAAACCAAATGGAAAGTATAGATTTTGTGTCGACTTCAGAGAATTGAATAATATAACAGACCTGAAGCCTTGTGCAATGCCAACAGTGGTGGAAACATTAGATCGGCTACAGAATGCCACGGTGTTTACAGTGCTGGATTTACGGTCAGGTTATTGGCAACTGCCTATAAAAGAGAGTGATCGGAGCAAGACAGCGTTTACTGTACGTGATAGACAGTATCAATTTAAACGAATGCCGTTCGGGTTGGCGGGTGCACCGTTCACGTTCAGAAGATTAATGACACTACTGCTCAAGAATCTAGATAATGTCGAGGTATATGGCGACGATGTAGTTGTGTACAGTCAAACAGA